TGGTGCAGCCAAGTGTAAGGATGGGCAACACTTGGTTACCAAAAGATAGAAATACAAATGCACGGAGCCACCAGCAGGAGCCAACCGCACATTTGTGGTTTCAGTTGATAGATCTTGTGTTTACAAGAAAACTATCAAAATCACCACGGAGGCAGCAATAGCTACCTGCGTGACATCCGGGGTCAAAAGCCCGAAACACGTGTCTATGGTTTGCCTCTTTCATGAGTGCTATGTTCGATTAATAACTTCTATTTCTATATCAAGTCACTCAATAACTTTCATACTTGTATAATTTCCTGGACTGGAGAAATGTACGGTGAAATAGATTAACATGGTCTCTCAGTCAAAAAATCAAACTCTGCTTTACTTTGCCAAGCTTTCGCTTCTAGTGTGAAGCTTCTTCAGGGCCTATAATTTAATGAGTTGTGAATATTTTCGTCATTGAATAACATTACAAATCATACTTACAGCAAAAATGAGCAAAAAACAGTAAATTGAACAATAAATTGACGAGAAAGTTATACATCTATAGGATTTTTTTGTGGGTTTGACAAATGTCATACCTTCACATAAATGTCAGTTTTCAATGGGTATGATGATTTCATAATTTTTGACTGTAAATAAAGAGTTATTGATTGATACAATTTTCATTATTATTATGTTTTTTGATGTAGTTCCAGTAAGTTACTGTATATACTGCTGAGATTAGCAATGTCAGTTTTCTTATTCATACAATCAGAAGACTTATTCATTTCAACCATTTCAAGAAAAAGGCGTTTGGATTTTTTTTGTATGTATGAATTTGACATAAACTTCTCACTCTATATCATAAAGGCCTTTTCTCTCAATTATACATCAAATATCTTATGGAATTTAATTTTTCTCTAAGTCTAAGGAAATGTCTTTTCTGGTTCCTATCATAAAGGGCTCAGTGCCTTTCTGTTAGACGTTATATCTATTTTGAAAACGTTTTTGAAGTGATTGGAGTGTCCAAAATGACTGTTTCAACGCATTGAAATTTTGCAATATTTTTCAGGCGTTTTTCGTGACAAAAATGAACGCTTCATCGCATTATATTTTTTGTTTTTTTTTTGAAGCGATTCTCGTGACAATTCTGTATTATTTTCCTTGACGCGTTACAATGCTAATCATATGGGTTTTTGCAAGAAATGGGGTTTGACGATTTAAGTGTCAAAAATGACCGTTTTAACGCACTATATTTTTGCAAAATTCTCAATGCATTTTTCGTGACCTAAACAAACGCTTCAACGCATTATATTTTTCTGAAATTTTCAATACGCGCATCGAGAGATCATGAATTACAAATATGGCCAATATGGCTGAAGATCATAAATGACAAGTGATTGTACACGTCAAATGAGCCACACTGTAAATGGAGAAAATCACACGTTGAAACGCTGGACACCATTCTTTTATTTCTTAAACACTTCATACGAAGATGCGGCTCAGTGTCCTTCTGGCATACTGGATCGCACCTTAATACGTTAGGCCTTCCCAGTCATCGTCGTCGACATCTCATTTTTTTTAGTCGTGCCGTAGTCCCAACCCTTCATGTTGTGCGCGCGATCAATGTTTTTTCCTTCGTCATCTCCTGATGTTGTCAACTTGCCTAGCAAAAAAGTATTTTAATGAGAGTTTTCGTGACATAAATAAACGCTTTATTGTATACATTTATATAATTTTTTTTTACTGAATATTCTATTACTGTCAGTAATAGTGACATAAAAATGAAACAGCTCATATACTCATCAACTTTTATATTACTTGTAGATTCAAATTTTCTTTTAAAAAGTACAATGAGTTCACATGCTAATATTACACAATCCACTGCCAAGACAATATTTATTTCACTTTTCATATTCTATTCAACGTTGCTCATATTGAACATGTTCGTTTCCTATATGTACACCGATTATGTTCAATAACAATCTCAGGTTGAATACGTCTTAACGGATATGTTATTACTGTGGGTAGTTGTCTCAAGGTGTAATTGAAAACACTGGCTCCTCTCTGTTGATTTATTTCTTCAGAAACCAACTTTTCATGGTTCCACGATAGACGAAGGTTATCTGATGTTTTCGTAACTTCACTTTTATCATAAAAAAATGTCTTCTCGAAATGAACAATTCCTTTTTAAATTCATTTAATTTACGTTTACACTCGTTTAAAGACATTTCGATTGATAGTAAGAGTAAGTCGTTAAGTACCCGCATCCGCTCCTATCTTCAATAATAACAAATTATCGAAATCGGAAGAGAAAACTGCAAATGACCATTTTATTGTAGATTTGAACTCTCCTCAATATGGGCAATCCGAATTTATTATTAGTTTTCTTTTATCTCAATGTTAATGAACCGAAAGTGTTAATTTTTAGACGAATCGTAGAGATACGAAACTTCATTAATTCATATATTGGTCACATCTTCTGCGATAAATGGTGCTGATGTATTCTCTCGTCAATTCACTAAATGACAACCGAAAAAATTCATACTTTTTCTTATAAGAATGACATAACACACGCGCGATCATGTTTTTTCTCAAATGTTGTATTTTGAGACACCCTGAACACATTGGAAGATTGCATATTAACAACACATTGACGTTATGTTTTTTACTCAAATGATGTACTTTGAGACACACTGTATATATTGAGGAATCGCATGGTAAAACGTTAGGGTCCCGTTAAACGTTATGTTTTTCTCAAATGATATATTGTGAGCCACTCTGTACACATTGATGCCATGTTTTTTCGAATGATGTATTTTGATATGCCCTGTACCTACATATTGAAGGATCGCACGTTAAAACGTTAGGGCCCCCGTTGAACTTTCATATTTTTCCTAAATAATGTATTTTTGCCACACCTTGTACACATTGACGTTATGTTTTTTTTTCTTGAATGATGTATTTTGAGCCACCCTGTACACATTGACGCCATGTTTTTTTCTTCAACGTCGAAAACCAAGTTTTTTTTCCTTTAATGCTTCACGCCCTGTATAGCATTTGATTGATGTGTTTTGAAACAATACCCTGTATAACTTATTTTTCCAAAAGCAGCAGCCATGTTTTTGTTCTTCAACGCTGCACGCCCTGTATCACCTTGAATACATTGACGTCATGGTTTTTTTAAATTATGTATTTTGAGACACCCTGTATACTCCGGTCAATGTCCGCCGCCATGTTTTTTTAACTGATATTTCACTCATCATTAATATTATACTATTATTTTAATATTCAACATAATTTATTTATTTATATTTAAAGCTGCAAACACCTTATATACCTCCATGGCATGGCAGCCATGTTTTGTTTCTTCATCGCAGGCAGCCATGATTTTATCTTTAACGCTGCACACCATGACAGCTTTTCTTCAACGCTACACACACACTCTGTATACCGCGATGTTGGCCATGTTTTTTTCTTTAACACAAGCAGCCATGTCTCTTTCTTTAACGCTGCACATCCTGTATACCTCCATGAGTTTTTTTCAACGCTGCAAACACATCCTGTATACCTCTAAGGGAGCCATGTTATTTTTCTTCAACGGAAGCAGCCATGTTCTTTTTCTTAAACGCTGCACACACTCTGTATACTATTTGATTGGTGTGTTTTGAAACAACACACTGTATACCCAATTATTATTGTTCTCATATCATTCCAAGAGCGCTCGACTCGTGATCTCTCAAACAGCGATAACGCCACCGCTAACACTGCTAAGCCACTTCCGCCTTGGAATCCGCTTTGTATATTTGAACATCATTCTTGAATCATAACACCGGAAAACTTGGTGAATGCATTGTTAGAAATATTACAGAATTCAAGAAGGAATAACCTTCCCCTTTCTCCAAAATTAAAAAAGTTGCTCAACACCTTGAAATAATAGAGCTTGAAGCATTTCAAACCAAATCCAACTTTGTTTTGGTAATAAAAATCCCACTAATATAACGTGAAATGTATTCCTTGTACAATTTATACCTATCCCGATATTTGACAACAGAACAGGATTGCATCATATTCTATCAATCACTCAACAAAATATCGCGAAAGACTACGATTCTTTGATGTTCGTACCAATTACAGACAGGAGTACCTACTTGTAAACCGTTAGTACATAGAACTGAATGGTGCTACGATAATTTCGCGTATCCAATTGACCAATATTTAATTTGTGATAAAGTTATAAAGTGCACAAAATTGAAACAAGTTTATGGCTTATCCGTGAATTGTCTCAGAAAGAACCCGAAAACGGAATTAGTTAACAAAAATTCCATAGTGACTCTTGAAACCGATTGTAGTGCATTCATCGAAATCACGGAAATTCAAGCGGATTCCAGATTTTCAAAATTGTCAAACGTTTCGTATGGATCACATCCAGTTCTAATTCCATACTATTCCATTCCATACTATATTATTGTAACGAGATCATGGACAAATCGAGCCTCCCGAAGCCGATGAAACTAAGCGACGTCGATTTGGAAATCGCCAAGCATAAATTGGATTCATATTCGATGTGTGCCTAAATCAGAGCTACCTAAGTTCAACAAAAAATTTTATAAACAGGATTCAGGTTTACCAATGGGCTCACCCCTTAGTCCACTTTTAGCAGACATATTTATGAACAACTTGGAGATCACTATAGTAAATTCCGACCTGGGTAAAAAACATATTCGTTTTTGGTACAGACATGTAGACGATATTCTCGCCTGTTTCAGAGGTACTACACGACTGCTGAACCAATTTATAACATTCATGAATAATCTCAAAAGCAGCATTCAGTTCACACTCGAAACCGAGATAGAGAAACAGATAAATTTCTTAGACCTGACCATTACATACAATCAGAATAAATTTGAGTTCAATGTTTTAAGAAAACCTAGCTATACAGACATCACCATCCCAAGCGATTCTTTCCATCCAGACAGTCATAAATTAGCAGCCTACAATTCAATGTTGCACAGAGCATTCACTGCCTTTGGAAAAATAACAGAGATAATTGCGGGTTTCTTCAGAAAAAACAATGTGGCATTTAGACCACATGCCAGGTTATCTCATTTTCTTTTCAATGCCAAAGATAAGGTGGAGAAATTTCCAAAAACGGTATGCTGAACATGAGAGGTCCTTCAGACTAGGAAGAAATGATTCGACGTTTTCAAACCATTACTTGGCATGCAACCACATGTTTCCGAATCTAACCGATACGGAAATTTTGCACTATGCAAGAAAAGGTTACAAACTCAATTATTTAAAATCCTTGGAAATTCACAAGCATAAACATTGTAGGTGCAACCTGTTAAATGATGAAATCGATTTAGTTCACTCACCGGTTTTCAAATTGGCACATCCGCATTGTAAACTGTAAATGCAGGTACTCAATCAAACCAAGTACTGAACATGAAAGGTCCTTCAGACTAGGAAGAAATGATTCGACGTTTTCAAACCATTCCTTGGCATGCAACCACATGTTTCCGAATCTAACCGATACGGAAATTTTGCACTATGCAAGAAAAGGTTACAAACTCAATTATTTAAAATCCTTGGAAATTCACAAGCATAAACATTGTAGGTGCAACCTGTTAAATGATCAAATCGATTTAGTTTACTCACCGGTTTTTAAATTGGCACATCCGCATTGTAAACTGTAAATGCAGGTACTCAATCAAACCAAGTACCTCTATTAGTACCTACAGGGGTATATAAGGGCTAATGTAATGAACCATTGTTAGTTTATTGTATAAGTTTGAAAATGTCCGTATAAGACGAAACTGCAGTAACGTTAGTTACAAATAAAAGTGGTAAAAAACATAGAAAGTTTCATTTCTTTTTTCGTCGTTATGATTTCCCACCACGTAGGAAAGGCTTCATCCATCAATTACTTTTTGAAAAAAGAGAATCAAATCAATGCCACTTGGTAATTCCAATTCAATATTCATATTTTTTATATTGGTATCCCAAGATGATCAGGGTGCAGCGTAGTAGCGTAGTAGTCTGCAGGGTCTAATTTATATTTATCTGTACATATATTTCGATACTTTAAAAAAATGTCACATAATAGCTAGCCCTAAGATAATCATTATCTGATAATATGTTCACCTTTGAGTTTCGTTAGAAAATTAATTTTTGGTTGGAAGTGATGAATAATAATTCAATTTGTCAATGGTGTCAACAAAGCTATTTTCAGATAATTCTTTTTCACCCTACCATTTTTATCTGTATAGGTGTGTGTGAAAAGATGATTCGTAAAATATATGTATTTCTCTTTAGTTTAGGGATAAAATTCACTTTTTACTTTTCTATACAATTCCTTTACAAATAAGTGACAATTATATAAACTCAAATTATAAAAAGTATTAGTAACATAATTTGGTAATTTGAGATTCAAAATATATGCTAAATGAGCGGCATGGGAATTTTTGCCAGTTGACAATGGTCCCGCACTTCAACTTCATCATCACTGAATGATTTAGAACAGATGCCACAATTTTCAGCAGCAGCCAACTATTCCTATTCTTCAGGAGTTTGTGCATCCATAGGATACACAAACCTGAGATGATTTCAATATATATTTTTCAATTTTGGAGACAAATTCTTGGACTGCAACAACTCCCCTATATGTAACAAATTTAGACAAGTCATCACATTGTATGAACATTTTTTCAAATAGGCGAATGTATAAGGTTCATGTTTGAATGTCTTGATCGGGTAAGAGTTTTAGGATGCAGAAAAACTCAAAAGTCGTCTCCATAATTTAATATCACCCTTAGATGTTAGAACGGTAAAATCAATCATCAATCAGTACATGTCTGGAACCTATGTAGGTTCATCATCAGCTAATTTTCAAAAATTCTACAACAAAAGAAGAACAATATAACAATAGTTAATACAATGAAGTATAAAATTACTTACATGGAGACATTTTTTTTTTTTATAATGGAGAAAAGAAAATTAACACATATAAACAATGAAAAATTGGTCACAATGACATAGGTTGTTTATAATATAAATATTCATTTTTAGTAATTGAAATAATGTTTTAACATCCTACCTATAAATGACTGAAGTATGGGAGGCTTGGAGTCTTTATACTCACTATTGAACATAAAACTTCACATGGAAATGAATTCCAATGAAAAAGATCCGAACTGTAAAATTATTGTAACAAGCATAGGTTTACTTTTACAAATTATTGCAACAAGCTGGTATGTATAGATGGTATGGGATATGTTTCCTCAGAATACGAGTTTATTTGTAGGTGGTGGATCTTCTTCTGTTGTCTTATGTGTTTGCACGTCTTTTGTCACTGTTTCATGTCATCTCAACTTCATTTCTTTATATATTTTTGACAGTTGATTCTCCTTTCTCATCTAATTCATTTTTTCTTTCATTAGAATTCGTTTTCATGAGGAGTTTTTTGAATTATATGTTGAATAGTGGGTATAAGGCTCCAAGCCTCCCATCCTTCAGTCATTTATAGCTAGCATGTTATAAACTTCCGTCATATAACTAAATATAACAACTTTCATTATAATTACCATATGTTATTGTGACCAATTATTCATTGTTAACATGTTTTAATTTTCTTTTCTTCATTATAAAAAAAATCTTCTCCATGTAAGTGATTTTATACTTCACTGTATTAACTATTATTATGTTGTTCTTCTTTAATTGCAGAATTTTAAAAAAATTGCTGATGATGAACTTATATGGGTTCGAAACATATACTGATTGGTGGTTTTATCGTTCTAACATCTGGAAGTGATAAATTGTGGAGACAACTTTGAGTATTTCTGCATCGTAAATCTTCTACATTCCACTTCGAGATATAAAGGACAGGTTCGGGTTTAGTGATTTGGTTCATTCGTATGAATCGGTTCAAGTACCGATTCAAAAATGGCGAATACTACAACTAACACCTTCATTTGTCATTGTCATGTTTCAAATATCAGTTCACTTTCAGGCACCATCTTCCCATTTTTATTTGTTTTGAAATTGGTGGATGGTGTTGTAGTACTCAAGTGATTACCGTCATTCTTCTGATGATTTAATAGTAACCGCTCATCAGAAGAATACAATAAACATCTATCACAAACGTATTTTTTATGCTCATGGGAGGATAGTTCAGTTGAAACTAACCTTGAAATATCTTTGAGCCAACAATAGTGACTATTACCAAAATCATCTGCACCCTGAATGTGGCAATCGGACAATTGAAGGCACTCGTTCCATCGATGGACCTCCTTGGCAACTCTGGAATTGATGTCGATGATGATTATCACTACGAGTGAAAGATTTACCACCATTCTGAAACGTTTTCACCAATGCACTCGATGTAAATTGATATAACGAATGTGTGACGTCTGTGACTTCATCAGTCATTAAACTGCCAATAACTACGTCATATTGTTGGGGGAAGCCGAGAACCTGTTGTAATCTCCTACTAATAAGTGTTGCGGTTTTGTAAATCGTCTAGTGATAATCTCCCGATGAAGTGTTACTACTTGAATATGTTATCATGGATATTCCAATAGCGTTAAATAATACAATACATAAAAATATGTGATGAAATTGCTCAATACTTGAGATGAAAATCCATAACGTATTCAAGATACACTTTATTGTGTGCTTTTCACTAAACAGTTTTACAAAAAAGCAACACTAGTTTAAATATTAAATCTGAAGTCTATACATACTTTCAAGTCAACAGGACTCATGCTATTTTCATCATCTTGATCTGTTAGGAACTCTTGCATTACATCAGATTCTGCTATGACTCGTACAGCACACACTCTTTCTAAATATTGCTCCAGACCTCTTCGACGGGCATCTAGTTGCTGTTCACTCATTGCAAAGGGCCACTTTCCTGGCAATTTTGGAAATGTGAAACCTAAAAGTAATTCAAACCTTTAATGATATTCGCAATGAAATTCAATGATTTCACTACTTTCTTTTCCTGGGTCTACGATACAAACATACAATTAATGCCCTACTGCCTCTGATTTTTCAAATTTGAAATTCAAGTAAGATGATTAATAAAAGCAAGTATATTTCCACACCAAATAAATATTCACTATATAACCGTATAAATAATTTTCAGAAAATTTTAACTCTTTCAAATCTTTCATGGGTGGGTTTTTTAAATATGTTTTTTGTGGCGTATAGAACAAGAACCAAATGTCGAAATATTTTTTCGGGCGGTGTATAATTTTCAAAGAATCTTCCAAATTTTTCGGGGCTTGGGAGTTTTTTATATTAATGTACTCATTTTAGCGTAGTGAACAAGACCTATTTGTCAAAATATTTTGTTGAGCAGAAAATCAACTACCACACCGTTCATAACAACAACGCATAAGGTCTAAAGCCGCGTCCAGATCAACCGGGTCGATCGACCCGGTTGATCAACACTGTCGAACACGTGTGGACATGTCGCCCGGCTTTGTCGAATCATGCCGGCCCGAACCGAATTCAACCCGAATCAAGTCGGTAAAGATCTGAGAAGTTTTCTAGAGAGCGAAATAAGGAGAAAAAATCTTTAAAAACTGGGAGTGGTGCAGATGAAAAGTACACTTCCAAATGGTTTGTATACAAAAGTTTGCTATTTTTGGCCGATAAGAACACTCCAAAAAACACTTAGGATACAGAGGTATGTAGGTAATTTTTATTTTTTAAATATGTTTACTTTCCAAAATATTAAATAGTAGGAAAACATAAATAAACAAGTCATACAAATTAGGTATTAACGCATTTTTTTTATTTTTGACTTAATTGCATACATATATTATTCCGAACATATATCTTGAAAGAAGAACCAAAAACAAAATGAAAGAAATTAAACAATCAATCGTATTCAAATCACTTATCATACTGGAAGTGGAGTTTCCCTTGCTCACTGATGAAATATTCTGCTAATTCCTCTCTCACTGTTTGAGCCTCAAAACAACTTCTCCTGGGAACTGTAGGCAAATCATTCATTTGACAACTTGATGAATCTCGTCTCCATATACCTGGAGTGACTTCTCCACTGTCAGAACACTCCATATCCAACATCCCAACGGAGCAGTACATATTTCTTGATCCGCTTTTCCTCAAATAGTTATGTAAATAAACTCCAGCCAATGTTACTTTTTTTGATGTACTTGGCTGCAATAAAATTGGTCTTCTAAATATACGAAAACGAGAAGACATTATACCGAATGCATTTTCTGAAACTCTTCGAGCCCTACTTAACCGGTAGTTGAATATCCTTTTTTTTGTTCCTTTGTCATGCAATCCAGAGAATGGCTTCATAAGATTTGTGGTTAGTTGAAAAGCTTCGTCTCCTACAAAGACATATGGCACCGGAAGACTTAATTGCGGCAAAGGGCGTGGAGGGGGAAGGTGAATAGTGTTGTCATCTAAACATTTCTTAAAGTATGTACTATTAAAAACTCCACCATCTGAAATTCTTCCCTGACAACCAACGTTCGCGTATATGAAATTGTAATTTGCATCCACTACAGCAAGCAACACAATACTAAAAAAACCCTTGTAATTATAATGTTCTGTGCCTGAGTTTGCTGGTGCTTGAATATTTATGTGTTTTCCATCTATGACACCCACACAGTTAGGATAGTTCCATTTGTCATTGAACAATTTTTCAACACAGTCCCATTCTTCTGTACTTCGGGGTACCTAGAAAACATAAAAAAATGAATTCAAATATTTTTAATTAAAAGAAGTTAATGAAAAGAATTTTTCAGGAATCACAAAACCGAGAGGACCAGGAAAAACACGACGAAAGTGATGGAGGAAACGCGGACAAGGCCGAGGACGAGATATCAAATGCAGAATACAATGATGCCGTTACAAGAACACCGATTAAAAAAACATTTACTTCCCCCAAAAAACCACTTAAAAAAGTAAAGTAAATTCAACTTCTGATGTCAATGTACCTATCATTGATGAAGCAGTAAACCTATTGAGAAGTATTCAGTCAAACAAGCAAAAGAAAGATGAATATGAATTATTTGGTCAGCAGGTAGCAATTCAGCTTAGACATATTACCTCACCACAAGCAAGGTTTACCGCCCAGCAGCTTATTAATAGAACATTATTTGAAGCAAAAATGGGGATGGGCAGTTTTTCGTATACTTTTCGTATACTTTCATCAAACATATCCCAACATGTATCCTTCTGGAAATAATCAGCCCCAGCTTCCCCCCTACCAATCGCCTCAGCCTCCAATGGTAACTTCTCCACACCAATCCTCAATCTATCCTGTTTCCACACTCCACCTCAACTGCATCCTTCATATCTGATACCTCTCAACATAATTGCAATACCGGAAATCAGTACGAGTTCTTGTAACAAGTAACCACCGTAACTTTTATATTTTTCTAAACATAATGAAAATAAAATTTGAAAAATGTTAAAATAAATGCTAGTACCTACATTAAAACTTTTGTTGTACTTTTCTTACCTTTACGTTATCTCGTAGCGCTACTGTCAGGGCATCACAGACTTCCGGTACAATGTCAGCTGATATTGCTTGCTTTGAAATTTTAAAGAGGTGGCCCAATGATAACATATTACCTCACCACAAGCAAGGTTTACCGCCCAGCAGCTTATTAATAGAACATTATTTGAAGCAAAAATGGGGATGGGCAGTTTTTCGTATACTTCTCAACCGCTATTTCATCAAACATATCCCAACATGTATAGAACATTATTTGAAGCAAAAATGGGGAAGGGCAGTTTTTCGTATACTTCTCAACCGCTATTTCATCAAACATATCCCAACATGTATCCTTCTGGAAATAATCAGCACCAGCTTTCCCCCTACCAATCGCCTCAGCCTCCAATGGTAACTTCACCACACCAATCCTCAACCTATCCTGGCTCACACTCAACCTCACCTGCATCCTTCATATCTGATACCTCTCAACATAATTGCAATACCGAAAATCAGTACGAGTTCTTGTAACAAGTAACCACCGTAACTTTTATATTTTTCTAAACATTATGAAAATGAAATTTAAAAAATGTTAAAATAAATGCTAGTACCTACATTAAAACTTTTGTTGTACTTTTCTTACCTTTACGTAATCTCGTAGCGCTACTGTCAGGGCATCACAGACTTCCGGTACAATGTCAGCTGATATTGCTTGCTTTGAAATTTTAAAGAGGTGGCCCAATGATACGTAAGAATCTCCTGTTGCCAAAAAACGCAGAGTTATTGCAAGGCGGTCGCTCACTGAAATAGCTGGTCTGAATTTTGTGTCTTGTTTAATGATTACTGGTGCAATTTTCCTTAATATATTTTCAAAATCGGAATTACTCATTCTAAAAAAGTTCCGAAAGCCTACGTCACATCTGTATTCCAAGTTCAAATCATCAACATCATTAAGCAATAAATCCTTCATAAATTCTTCAGTACTATACTTTTTTCTACTTCGGACAAGGCTGGGCCTTACCCAAAACCTCCTTGGACGGCGACGACGACGATCTTGCTGACTTCCTGCAACTGCAATGATAATTGCAGCAGCCGCCACTGCAGCGTCTTCTGAGTCACTCATTTAAATTTATTGAAAACTTTAATTGAAACTTTAACGTGAATACATAATACACTTTATTACTTTAATTCAAATTCACTTTTTATCTGTTTACACCGGCGTGTACCGCCCGACTAGTCCACATATACAGAGGTATGTGGACAAGTCAAATATCGAACGTGTCGATCGACACGTGCCGAACGACTTTGTCGATCGGCATAGTCTGGACGCGGCTTAAGGTGTGTGTACCACTCTTCCACTTTTGTCGTCATTCAGTCGACCAATCAAAAGCTCCGCGCGCAGAGTGCGCGTTTGAGAGAGATGGAGATGGTATCGAGGTGACTCGTTCTAAAGATAACGGCCAGTAAGGCCTGCGCAAGCATCACAGGTTGGTTGTTGAATAAATCATTGTTTATGGTGCGATATAGCATGAAGGGTTACCATAGTATTGAGACGACGACAATAACTAGGGTGGCCTAATGTTTTAAAGTGCGATCCAATATGTCAGAAGGACACTGAAGCCGTATTTGCGTTAACCAAGTTGGCATTATCAGATGATCAACATAGCAGAAACATTTATAATGGGTATCGTTAAAAAAAACGTTACTATACAAATTCAGTATTGAACATTTTGAATAATAGGATTCTTCAGAATATATAGAACTACTAATTATTGTCCGCGGCTTTGCCCGTGTAGAATTTGGTTTGTCACATTAATTTTCGTGACAGACCATCTTAAACAAACAGTTAAAATATTTTTATTAACACAAAACTTCAGGTTTCCAACTTCAAAACTGACGAAATTCAATGTAATCTTCAAACCCCTATTTTTCCCCCCTTGGGGGTGAAAATTTCTGATTCCCTTACTTGATGCTTAATAACGCTATTCAAAGAACCTACCTGCATATACCTGCGTACGCTGTCATTATTCATTTC